CATGACGAATGGGATCATGTTCTGATGTTTCTTTTAACAATCCTCTAGAAATAAGCAAAGCAAATATAACTTTCATTTTACAGATGAAGAAACGAGACTGAGAGGTTAAGATAATTGCCAAAGTCACATAGGTGATTAGAGTTGTATTACAGAGTGGGTCTTGTGACTTCCATATTCTTTCTGTAAGGGCTTGCTACCATACCCATATGGTACCTGGGTCTCAGTTCTGAGCTAAACTCTAAATACAAATATGTAAACTTTAATCTAGTTAAGGTTATAGAAACTGACTTCCTCAATGGCAATCAAACCTCTCTCCTTACCCAAGAGAATGAGTCTCCACATTGCTATTTCTTTTTTTTTCCCTTGGGAATTTATATTAGGACAACTCTCTTTACTCACTGACCAGTGCCTGGAGAGTTTCATCTAGGATGATGGTTATCTGTTTATGACTGGCTGTCTGAAGTCACGTGAGAAACTCAATATAGAGAAATCACATTATGAATGAGAGTATTAGATGAGTAGTGTGGGTAGGGTTCATTTGCATTTAATAAGATATTCTATTTGAAGTCATATTGAATGCAAATGTGTCATTTTGTAAGTACTTTAAAGTTGGGTCTACACCAAGTTATAAATCTACAAGCAGAATAAAGAAAATTCTGCTGATCTCCTGGGTATTGAGTACTACATGGTTACCAGGTAATTTATTAACTTTCCAGACTGCATCTCAGTAGTTGGTTCACAGCTTTAAACTGGGTTAACTTCATGATGATGCACCAAAGCCTAATACAACTGCTCTCATTTGTGTGAGAAGGAAAATTAGAGATACTTCAAACTTTCTGGCCAAGGCATCCTTGGAAGTAGGATTCATGGTCAATGTTATAAAATGTGCTTGCTGATTTTATAACTGATGTGGAAGAACACACAGCTCTACTCTACATTAACCAAACCTATACAGTCTCAGATTTGTAGAAATAAAAGATAAATTGATATACTATGTGTCAGGCACTGCGATAAAGAAAATAAATAAATAAATATATGTATATATATATTTAATTATATATACACACACATATATATATAATCTCATTTAATCCATGTAACAAACTTGTGGGATGTGTACTATTGTCCCTTTTCTACTTACACATAAATAAATTAAACTGAGACCATTTCAATATTCAGATTAGATAAATATTCTGTGCTTATAGGAACTGCTGATTATGAGATGCAGGGGAATCTGGGTGACAGTTTCATCCACTGAGTTGACAGGTACAACAAGTCAAATACAATCTCAATTCTAGTCTCATACTATAGTTTTTTGCTTTAAACTTCATTTCCAAGCTCTTCTAAGACTTACATTCAATGAACCCAATTTATTCTTTCAATTAGAAACATCAAAATACAAAAAAATTAAAACATTTCAAAGAAATCTTGAATCAAACATAAATGATATATTGAACTTTCACTATTAGACCTAGGCTAAAGCTCTGTGGACTTTCATTGCTTCATCTACAAAATTACCCCAAGAATTCTACAATAAAAAAAAAAGTTAAAATATCTGCAAATATATTTAAAATGTGTAAAAGCACCACACAATTTAAATTGTTATTGCTACTATTATGAATAAACTGATGAAGAAGTAAAGTTATGTAAGAGAGGAAATAGGATACATTGTATGAATTAAATCAGGCAGCTGTCTTTTTGACCAGGAATTTCTCTCCTCATGCTCAATGTTCATTCATTCTCGCTGATCTGAGCTGCTTTTGTGGGAAAGGAATGATTCTCTTGCTAGCACAGAAAAAAAAAATCATTCTGGTTCACTCTCATTCTCTCTCTCTCTCTCTCTCTGTGTGTGTGTGTGTGTGTGTTTATCCATTCCTGGTCTCTTTACAGATCCTGCTGCCTTACATTTTCAGTAAAATAAGGTCTAAATTTAATGTGGAGCCAGAAGAGTTCCCTGCTCATGGCATTCCTTCTTTAAGCTCGTTGTGTTGTCATTAAGAGGCCAATATTAATATGATCTCTTGGAGGAAGGACACACATGCTACCTACCCAGAAGCTAGCTAAGCCTGGCCAAGCAGACCCTCAGTCTCATTTAACTAAATTACCAGTGCAGAACCATCAGTGTGCCAAGCCCAGGTAGCTGTACATAAGCAATATCTACAAATAAACATAGTAAAAAAAAAAAAAAAAAAAAAAAACTCCTGGGGTACACTTTTAATTTGGCTGGGGGTGTGATGGAAGAAGAAATTGGAAACTTTGGTTAACAAGACACTAAGCAAAAAGCTCAGAGTGTTACTGAAAGCAAATGCCATCAAATGAAATTCAGTCAATATGCCTTCCATAGGCCAGAGCTATTACCAACATCTTCCTTCTGTAAAATGTTTATACTGCAGATTTGGGCTGGTCTTTTCCAGTTGTGTGTTCCTCCATAATGAATTCCACCCTACTAATGCATCAATCATCAGTGTCTGGGAACTCAGTGAAGATGAACACCCATTTACTGGTCAGGGCAACTCATTCTAAGATGGTGAAGTGCTTTGTTTTTTATTTATATTTTTTAATTTATGATTTAGTAGAGCCTATGATCACAGGGTTATGTTCCTTTTAGTAAAGCTCAGTTGTGAGCAAATTAAAACTGCAAATCATAGAAACAGAAATGAAAGACCCACTAAACTCTCCCTGAGGCATAATTATTCAACCTTAGTGCTTTGCATTCCTATATATCCTAATGCTGTCAGATAGGAGAAGAAAGGAGACCAAGTCCCCAAACTGTGGCAATTGTGAATCATGATTATACCACTAATCATAATTCAGACATACACAGGCATCACTTAATGGGTAGTTTTGCTTACTGGAGGAGGAGATCACTTTGACCATGGAGAAAGAATGACCTTTTGAAGTTAAGTTTATGGATGTATAAATACAGAGTACATGTCTTCATAAAGTGCAAATTAATGCAGATCTTCACTAGGCATTTGGAATGCTAACCTAGTTTCCTGTGTTTAGCTAATAGCTAGCAATTTTGCTTATACTTTTATCCTCTCATTACACAGCAATGATGATTATTTAGTAAATACATGCGGAAAGCCACAGGGTTGGTAGCTCTACTCCTGGGTTAGAAATAACCCCTCCTAATGTTCCTATTTGAATAATTTAGTTGCTGATACACCAAATCAAATACAGCTATGACAGGTATCCCACCAAGACTTCTTTGGGAGGCTAAGCACAGATTCCTCAACTTGTTCCCCTATGGCATTGCCTGGCAAAATTTAGGGCAAGGGCTGAGGAAGAAGAAAATGCTAGGGGAAATCTAGAGCCTCAGTGAATGTTCCCCTTTTGTTAATCTTTAAGGGACTCAGATGGCTTGTCTGATTGGAAACTTATTTATGATGCTAGACAAGGGGGTAGGCAAAGCCTATTTAATTACTAGTTAAAAAAAATATTCTAGAACAAGAGAAAGAGTTTGCAAAAGACATGAAGAAGAAAAAGAAGTAAAATGCGGCCTTTTGAGATGTCACCCTGTCCATCCTTGGACATATGATTGATATAAACCTTTATAGTCATCTTGGGAATTTTACTCGTGGATGCATTATAGAATAAAAGTGTACCCACTAGAGAAATTGGGGTGATCCCAGGTACTTTTTCTTGTCTGTACAATATACAACATCACTCACTACAGTATTACAGAGGAATATTATAAAATATTTCTTAGTAGGATGGGAAAGCCCCAAACACTAATTTCAAATAACTGATTCCCAACTCCTGCATTATGAGGAGACAACTGAAATTAAGGAATGGTAGCTGGAACTAGGTCCAGGTAAGCTTGGAACAAGGGTTTTTAATATTCAGAATCAGGTCTGGTTTAGGGGATGGAGACTGGAAGGGCTAAAGGAAGAAACAGGAAACATGTCTCTCCATCCCCAATGCTGCTTTAATGGGTTTGCTCACAGGGGCAAGGTTCCTGCTCTCTTTTGGTGACTTCATGGGAAGTTGGCTCAGTCCCCAATTCTGCAGAGGGAATGCAGGCAGAAAGGAGCACAGCAAATGGGCTTCACTCTGGGTGCTTAAACAGCAGGTGTGAAGGGAAATGGAGTGGGTGCTGGCCAATGGGAGGAGCCACTGAACTGGGGAATATTGCTGGTCCTGGGGCTTTTCCTCACTGGTTCCCTCCCATCCTGGGTTTCCTGCACCAACAAAGACACTGCTCAGAAATCAGAATCCCTCCCAACACATGACCCTCAGGGGCAGCCACACACAAGCCCTACCTCATTTATCTCAACACCCTGGGTTCTCATCTGCTTCTCAAATCACAGGCTGGCACAAGTAGCCTGAAATCAGTGTCTGAGCTAGCACATCTTCACTACTGGGAATTAAGGAAGATCATGGTCTAAAGTGGTATTGGTGATATTGTTTCAGACGGGTTTTTCTTTTATTTGTGGTGGAGGGGGGCGTGCCACCAGGTTTCAAACACCTCCATCCTTCCGTATTTAGGGAAGGCATGGAGGATCTCTTGGGTCCCTGATGGCATTCCCCAGTCCCGCATCCTCCTGCAGTCTCTTGAAAGTGTCTAAACATCAGGGCAGGGCTGTTCGTCCATTTTGCCAGACAGGAACCACCGAGTTTGGGAACTTTGAAAGCCAGGGGATGGGGGTGGGGGTTGCCAAGGCTCAGATTTCGGCGCCAGAGTTCTCAGCCAGAAAAGCAGTTGAAAATCAACACCCATCTGCCTCTTCTTTTTAAACCCCCACCTCCTTCTCCTTTTTTCCCTTCCAGGGAATCCACACAGATCCTACCCTCACCAAACACACACACACACACACACACACACACACCCTTTGGGCTTGGAGGGTTTTGATTCTGAAAACAGCAAACCCACAGAAAGGAATGGGTCTGTAACACCCCTCCCTTCCCGCCTTATGTCTACACACAATAAAATCCCATACATTCCAAACATCACAATATCAACCAAACCCGCCCCGTGACTCCAACACGTCCCGTACCTGATATGCAGACGATGAAATTGGCTTGAAGAAGAAAAAGCACCTCCCAGACTATTTCCATCCTCTGATTCTCATTCCAAGTGCATCACTCGACGGGAAAACAGGGGGGGAAGGGGGGTGCCCGACACGGCACACATACACACACACACACTCCCGAGCGAGCGCACACTCGCACTCCCACCCGACAGCCGGCCAGGGACAGTCACCCCCAAGATCAATATCGCAGTTTGAATTGTTCCAGCAAATCTCCCCTCAGGCTCGACGGATGTGCGCCCCAGATGTGCTGACACATGTCCGATGCCTCGCTGTCTCGGAGGTCTCCCCACTCGCGCGTCTCTGCTCCTCGCACCAGTGGTGGAAACAGCACTAGCAGCGGCAGCGGCAGCCACCTGAAGCCACCAGCGCTGGGCTCTTCCTGCAAAAACGAGACCCCGATCCGCCAGGCGCCCCAAGAAGACATAGACGATAGCCCCCCGCCGGGCCGCGCCGTGCAGTTCCGGGCTCCCGGCAGCTCTTAGCTCTCTGGCTAAACCCAGGCAGTCCGCGACAAGTTGCTCTCGAAGTCCGCGCCCCTCACCGGGGCATGGTCAGAGGGTGGCTTCTCCGCTCAGGGACGTTCTCCTCCTGCTTCCGGGGGTGGGAGGAGGAGCAGACACAGCAGACAGACAGAGAAAGAGAGGCAGGGATTATTGCCAGAAACCGCCGGCCACCGGCAGCCTCCGCCGACCCTCCCTGCTCCCCAAGTCCGCGCGCAGCCGGCCGCCTCCAAGCCGGGTTGGGGCCGTGTGTCCAGAACCCAGAGCGAAACCGCTGGGCGCAGAAAACCGGGGCGCGTTGGGGGACCCACTGGCTCCCTACGTCGCGCGCGCGCGCTTTCTGCTCCTTTGCTATTTTCCTGGGCTCCCCAGAACCCCCAGTTGCCTCGCTTCCATCGCCCGCAACTAGCGCCGCCGCCGAGATTTTCCGCAATGCAACTGCAGGGGTCGTTATTTCCTCGCCTACGGATCCCGACGCTTCCCGATTCAGAGAGGAGGAGGAGGAGGAGGAGGAGGAGGGCAGGTGGGGGCGGGAGGCGGAGGAGGAAGAGGAGGAGGAGAAGGAGGCTCGGCCAGGTGAGCGTTCTCACAGCCGCCTGTAGTCCCAACGTCAGCTGGGCCTCCGGGCAACCGGGGGCGGAGGCAGAAGTCCAAGGTGGGGAAGTGAGGTTTAACCCGGCCATAAGGAGGAGGAGAAGGCTGGGCGTCAGAGCTTGAGGCCCTGGCCACTGCCTCGGCCCCAGCCCCTGGCGGCCGCCTCTGCGATCCGCCCCGCCCGGCTGCCTCCGTTACCCTCCAGGATCTTTGAGTTTCTCCTCTCCTTAAAAAGAACTTCGCGCCTGCTTGTTCCGCGCAGGAAACCCAGGCGGGACTCATCCTGGGAGTGCTGTGCTGTGCTCTCCCTCCGCTGCGGAATATTGGGGATTTTTTTTTTCTGCATAATTCATTCCCTGCCCTCTCCCTTTCATCCCTTTATTGCCCCCTCCCACTCCTTCCCCCTTTCTGCTCTAGTGCCAGAACACTACTTACCCCAGAGTTCTCCTCTCTGCAGGTTCCTAAACCAGGTGCAACTCTTGCCTGCAAGTCCCTCACTCCCTCCTCCCGAAAGGGGAAAAAAACGTCTTTCTAAGTCCACTGGTTCCAGCAGCGGTTGCTACCAACTGCGCCTTTACTCAGCTCTGGGAGGATCCGAGACTTGGAAAACCAGGCCTTCGGGAAACGGCTTTCCCTTCTTGTTTTTCTTTTACTCTGTTTTTCTTTAGGGATGCTCTAGTGCTTTGGAGGTTTTTGGTGGGCTTCAGGATACTCTCCGCCAGCGACTCAGCAGCTTCCAGCGAAGATTTCCCCCACGAAACCCGTGCGCGCGCACACACACAAGCCCAGCGCGCGGTTCTCCACGGCCCCAGGGGAAGGTGGGGGCGGTGCGAGCACCACCCACCACCCAGGGCGAGCCGGAGCCAGCCGGTCCGCAGAAGGTCTAGTAGTGGAACGGGCAGTCTGAAACCTGGGAAGGACTTGTACCGGGCTGCAGTGTGGATGCGGAGAAATGCAACGAAACCCTGCGCTCGGGACTGTTCGCCTAAGAGGACTGAGAGTGAAAGGAAAAGAAAAACTGCAGCAGATTTGTGTGCCCCCCCCCCCCCTCTCTCTCTCTCTCTGCAGTAGTGGTTTGCGAAAGCCCCAGACCTACCTCCTTGGGGTGGGGATGCTGAAGAAGAGGAGGGCAGGGCAAAGGGAATCCCTGGAAAGACCTGGGATTTCTCAACGCGCTTGCCCTGATTATGAACTGTGACGTTTGGAGATTTTGCACAAGCGCGGATGGACACACACACAACAAACACAAATACACAATAACCCGCAGTATATATATATTTTTTACTTTTAATTTTTTGATGTTTAGAGGCCATTTTAGTATGAGCCTCCATCTGCAAAAAGGGTGGATAAGTGGAGAGGAAGGAAGTGTGTGGGGGTTGAGGGGGAAGGGGGTGCTGACACGGTAGAATTCATATAGTGAGTCTTTCCGCAGCGAACCGGACACTCACGCTGTGTGTTATCTGAGGATGAAGCATGGGAGCCAAAAGAGTTACACTACAGTGCTCCCAGGATTCTTGAATGGACTCTATTGCCCAGGGGCTTGGGGGATCTTTTTGTTGAGTGGTGAGAGGGAGAGCAGAACAGTAGCTCTTGTAGCTGTTGGGGCTGGACTGACTGCAAGAGCCAGAGAGTGTAGTCCTGCTGCCTCCCGGGATTCTAAAAAGGAACCACTGGCAGACTTGCCAACTCTTCAAGAAGGAGGTGTGGCCGAGGGATCTGCTCTCTGAGATGACAGCCAAGGACTCCAGGTGGTCAACACATTAAAAATCAAAGCCCAGATGAAATAAATCCATAGTTCTTATGAAGAGAGCTTCGAGGCTCAGCACGAAAGACATTGGCACTTAAAAACATTAATAAGAGATCCGAGATAGTTGGAATTAGCCCATTTAGGAAACATTTGGGGAACGATTGTCACTGTACCTTGAAAGTAGACTGCATGAAAGGGATTTTTGAGGGGAGAGCAATTTGCCAAATATGAACAGATCCACTAAAGTTAGGGTTCAGAACCACGGACAGCGACCTACCTTCTGTTCTTGGGTATTGGGATTTACTGTCAGCAGGAGGGCTCTCTCCACAGCAAGTCCAAGCAGGGTGCCTGAGTTTTTATACCACGACTCCATTCATTTATTAAGGATGTCTGCAAATATAAAATAAGTGTCTTATATGTGTCAATCACTGTGGCAAGATGCTAGGGTTTTGTAATTGAAAATGCATGATTCTCCTTTTCAAAACCATACAGACTATATATCCCTCTACATTGTATCTTAAGATAAATGCCAGAGTAGAAAGAGACAGATATTATTCTGTATACATATATTATTACACTAGTGGAGTGACTGAACCATGTTCAGCCAGAGGAATGAAAAGCTGTGCTCCATTTGTGTACTATATGTCAAAATGCAATCTACTGTAAAATAAATAAGTAAATAAATAAATAAAATGTAAAAAGACAAATGCCAGTACAATAATACATTATTTCCTCTCTTTCAGTCTGTATAACTGACTTAAGCACTCTAAGAAATATTTAGCCTATTATATGCTAAAATGTGTTTTGATTTTTTAAAAAAAAATTCATTTTTTTTTTTAGTAAAACAAATTGTAGTACAAATGTTCCAATAGCTTGCTATGGGCCAAGGATTGTACGATTCTTTATATACACTATCTTGTTTAGTCATCGTAGCAGCTTGTATTAGTCCATTCCTGCTGATGTAACAAAATACCACAGCTTGGGTAATTTATAAACTATAGAAATATTCTGACAGTTCTGTAGACTGAGAAGCCCAAGATTGAGGTGCCTGCATTAGATGTTTGGTGGGGGCCTTCTTGCTATGTCCTCATATAGTGGAAGGTGGAAGGTAAAAAAGGACCAAAGCTAGTTCCCTCCAGCCTTTATAAGTCACTAATTTATTCCTGAGAGTGGAGCCTTCCTGACTTAATCAGTTCCCCAAAGGCTCTTCATACTAGCACAATGGGGATTAAGTTTTGACATGTAAATTTAAGCAAATACATTCAAACCATAGCAGATCCCTATGAGATAAATATTATTATCACCTCCATTCCACAGATATGAAACAAGCTCAGAGTAGTTATTTTCCCAAGGTCTCACAGTTGCTAATTAATAGTATAGAGATCAGAGCTAGGCAGTCCAAACTTAGAAGCTGTGCCACATCTCTTTCCTATATGTTTTGTAAAAGGAAAAATATCATCTTTGGGACATTATTTTCAATTTGGAGTAAATTCTAACTTTACTTTTTATGGAGATATTTTCTTTAACCCCCCCCAGGGGAAAAAAAAACAAAGAAATGAAAAAAAACCTCTCTGAAACTAAAAACTATCTTCAACATTTCCATATTTTAATAATTTATACTATATCTTGATAACTCCAAAAGTCTCTCTCAACTATACCTGCCTTCATTTTTTTCTCTTTCCTATTTTTCTACACGTCTCCTCCACAAATTCAGTGCAAGTGTCTTACATATTTAGCCAAGGCTTGATTAAGCCCAAGTGTAAGAGATAACCCTAATTGCCTCATAGAGACCAGGGGATTACCAAGAATGATAATACTGAGTTTTCTTTGGTTCTTTCTCTACCTCCTCTTTCACTCAACCCCATAGAAGGAGGAATAACTCATCTGATTAATAAATTTGTAAAAACTTGACATCTATTTGGCTACTTTTCTCAGAGGCTGTGCATACTGTAGTAGAAGATCAAGGAAATCTGTCTCTTCTTCCCATTCCATTACTCTATTGGTAAACATGCATTCAGGTGCAATTAAAAAACAGAAAAGAAAACACTCACTCTGTATTTCTATTCTTCACCCCATATCCTCCTCAAGAAAAAATGGTGCCAGTAAGGTCTTTGCTTTTCTTGCAGTAACTGTGTTTCTGAGGCCAGTCATCATCATTCATGTGTCCAGAAAAGAATATTGAGAGTCTTCTTTATGAACCCAACCACTCTTTACAGGTGAATTTCCAGTTCTGTATTTAGAGGTAGTAATTGGAAAGTGCCATTTTAATCTTATGTCTAAATCATTTTATGCAATGTTACTATATACTAAAGCACTTTGGAACATATTAAGCTCAAATTATTCAATTTGCCACTCTTATTTAGAAAATGTTTCTGTTTTTAATTTCTTCCAGGTCAGAAGAAAAGAGAATCGAGTGATTAAGTTCTACTAACTTCTATCAAAAAGTTGTTAATTACTCAAAAGGAAAGACATGCTATGTTCATGAGTGAGAAAGCTCACATCAGCTCACCCAAACTGATTTATAGTATTAGCATAATACCAATCAAAGTCTCAGCACTTTTCTTGTGGAAATTAACAAGGTGATCCTAAAATCCATGTGAAAATACAAAGGATCTAAAATAGCCCAGGCACTTTTGAAAAATAAAAAACAAAATTGGAAGATTGAAACTACCTGACTTCAGGAATTAAAAAGCTATAGTAACATAGATAACAGGGTACTAGCCTCAAATTATAGAAATAAATTAATGGAACATAATGAAGGATTTAGAAATAGAATAACACATATTATTTCAGTTGATTTTTTACAAAAATGCAAACTCCCCTCATCATACAAAATACAGGTATGAATATGTGAATTTGGTGTCAACATACCTTATATATAATCAGAGATATGGTAAATTATTTTATAATAGTGTATTAAGATTGTAATGCAAAATAAATAAATTAAAATTAATTTTAAAAAATGCAAACTCATGTTTTAACAAATTGTCTTTTAAACATCTGGATATAAACTTTCAAGAAAACAGAAATATAAAGTATAATTTGTACCTTGTACCACATTAAATAATTAAAATATATAATAGACCTAAATGTAAAACAAGTCTATAAAAATACTGGAAAAAAACATAGGAATAACTCTTTGTAAACCTGGATTAGGCAAAGATTTTCTCCTAGATATGACACCAGAAACATGATTCATAAAAGAAAAAATATAAATTGCATTTGTCTCCCAAAATTAAGAACTTATGCTATTCAAAAGACAATTAATGTTAAGAGACTGAAGAGACAAGTGGCCGTCTGAAAGGAAATATTCTGAAAATGATATGTGTTCCAAATGCTTGAAAGTGGCACATGTAAGAATGCTCAAAAGGCAACGAAAATTTAAAAGTGGGCAAATGGGTTGAGTGGAGATCTTGTCAAATATGTATTGATACACATACACACATACACACAGAGTAAATTTTTTTATGGAAATTAACAAGCTATTTCTCAAAGTCTAGTAAATATATACCTGTATTATAATCCCATCTTTACATGTAAAATAAGAATATAGAAAAATGCTCAACAAATTTAATCATTATGGGAGTACAATTTAAGTCCACAGCAAGATAACAGTATATGTATCTTTGTATGACTAAAATTAAAAATAATGACCACACTAAGTTTTAGTGAGAATGTTAAGCACCTAGCACTCTCATACAGTGCAGGTGGGAATGTAAAATTGTACAACCACTTTAGAAAGAAAAAAGTTTGGCAATATCTTTAGGAAGTTGAATGTATACAAACCATATGACCTAACCATTATACACATAGGTATTTATCCTAGAGAAATAAATGCTTATGTCCATACAAAAATTGCAATTTCTATGTTCATAACCTTTTAATTATGATACATTGAAAATAACTCAGATGTCCATCAACAAATTAATGAATAAAAAATGGGAAGAATTACACAGCAATAAAGAAGTAATAAACTATTGCAATACCGGGCAAATTGGATTAATCTCAAAATCCTTACACTGAGTGAAAGAAGTCAGACCAAAAGGAGTTCACACAGTATGGATTCCATTTATGTGAGATTATGGAAAACATATGCTA